TCGTAGACCTTTTCAGTTGCCTTTCTCTTTCCCTTGTCTAGTTGTTTGACATAGCTTTCCCATGTGAAACTTGCAGAACCAATATCCGTTCCTACTCCGTCGCGCAAGAATCGAACATACAGTGCTGCTGAAGCAATGGCCAAAGGCTGGTAATCTAAGGCATCTAGTACTGCATGTTCTTCTTCATCATTGCCAGGTGGAAGCTTGGAGACACTCCTGAGAAGATTCACGGCGTCGTTTACTTGCATTCCCTCACTGAGGGAGATCCTTTTGCATGAAGGGTCACCAAATGGGAGATAGGTGCTCTCTTGCGTGGTAACAAGTAGTTGTCCACAACCTACATGCTCTCCTTTCTCTGACAAGAAGCAGCGTAAGCTCTCACTTTCATCAGCGTTATCCAATATGAGCAACCAGGTGGAATACCCTCGTACCTTGGAAAATGCAAAGCTTTTCAGATGTGTAATTTTTTCTTTCTTCGTCAATTTGGAATCGCCTCCTACGATATTATTTAGAGAGTGTTCCGTGATTCCAAGCTCACGGCAAAATCTCTTATACGATTCAAGCAAAGTCTCTTCGCTTTCAGCATCCAGTGTCATGACAAATGAGTTGCAGTCAGGGTTCTGATCAGCAAATTTTCCTCCAACTTGACGAGCAATCTGACTCTTGCCACATCCTGGATTTCCAGTGACAAACACGGTTACAACAGAATCATCGTCACTTCCGTTTTGGAGGTCACAAAGCATCTGCATGATTTCTTTGACTTCACTACTCCTTTCAATGACCTCGTGCGATGGCTTGGATGGAAGAACTACAAAGTTTTTGGGCTTACCTTGAATTTCTTTCTCTAAGACGGCAATTTGCTCTTGGAGTGTTTGAAGCTCCCCTGTGGGAAAGTTTCGTTGATTTACCATTGTCTGCAGTTCTGTTGTGTCAAGATTTAGAGCTATAAACGCGTTTGTGACCTTCTGAACATTGGCCTGAAAGTCTGATTCCAAAACTCTTGGTTGGGAAAGATGCGCAAAAAACCCATTGCGGAATTCTCGCAAATCATTAACGTTACTATATACAGTAGGACTTGCACGTGACAGAAGTCCGCCAAGGGTATCGGAATAGAGAATCGCAAAGAAAAGGCAGGTACAATCCCAGGAACCGCTGTCTCCATATCTAATGCTGTTCAGAAGCCTATAGTTTCTCTTTCGGCTTTTTCGTGATTCCATGTGGAAAAAATCCATGCCATTACTGCGAGTGTCAAGCCATTGTCCACGTCTACTTCCATATAATCTATTCCATTCTTGTTTGAAAACTGATTGCAGGCCATCCCGTATGATTTTTGTAGTGATGTAACAAATACGGAAATAATTAAGCTCTTCCAAAGAGTACTCTTTGCTCGACATTTCTCATGTTTATCTTGCCGCTGTTTGGTCTAAAAAAAAACAACAACGTGTTCTTAGAATATCATACCAATTTAAAGAATGTCAGGTTGAATTTTCATTTCAATGCATACGTTAGTAGCATTTGGAAGTCATAAATGACAATGACACGAGTCTTATGCTAATGTGTATGAAAACACTTAATAAACTATCCTTACAATGTATTTCAGGTCTATCCCTGCATTTCTTACGTATTTATCAACAATTTAATGGCTAGTCTTAATGGAAATAAAAAGGAAAAAGAGAGCAAAATAATATGCAGATAATCCATCACAAGGTCCTTGGCCGCCAAAAGAAACAGATCACTATCCTGAATAATAATTAACAATTATTCACCAAAGTGGAGGTGAATAATTGTTTTTAGTATATACCACACAGATACCAAAAAAAAGTTTATTTCCCTTAACAAAGCAAAAAATGGTCGGACATAAAACTCCTGACATGCGATTTGTCTCATGAACTGCTCCGAGGTGAACAGTACTTCCAAATTACAGAATAAAAACATACCAAAGGTAAAACATTTTTTAATATAAAGTTAACATACTAATAAAATGATAAACAAATAAATTGATCCTACCACCATCCTTATTGAAGTGACAGTAAATTAAAAATGTTCAAATCTTCAAAAGTATTCACATCATTTGCTCAACGAATTTTTTGGGAAAGATCTTAAGATTCCAGCTGTGAGAAGAACTGTATTAAAAAACCATCCCTTGTATATTCCCTGTGTTAAGATGAATTTTTAGGAGAATGACGCCTTGTCTGAAAAAATCGTCGGAAAAGGTATGAAATCTGGCACATGCTATGTCGCGTGCATAGGATTCCAATCTTAACACTCAGTATTGACTCCTAAGTTTATGTTTGTGAGTTTCTTGTATTTGAGCGGATGTTCATGTGAGCGAAACTTTTCACGTTGTTTCTACTGTTTTGGGAAACATGTTGGAAAGAATCAGTAGAGATTTGGAAGCAGTACACAAATAGATTTCTGATTTGATGGATAAAGCTTGCTTTGTATGCACGGATACTAACTTCTGCAATGCCTAAGATATTCCAAGAACTGGCTTCTTTCAAATGTAATAAGCACTGGTATCAAAGGAGGTTCTGTTATTTGAGTACATAAGTCAAAATTCAAAAGGCCTAAAAGGTAAAAATTCACTAAGAATTGTCACTGCTGAAAATATGTAAAAGTCCAAGTATCGAAAATAGATAATATGAAAGTAACAGTAAATAACAATTATAGCATTTTAAGACGTGTCTACATCATTTGCACAACGAATTTTTTGGGCAAGATCTTAAGATTCCAGCTGTGGGAAGAACTGTATTCAAAAACCGTCTCTTGTACATTTCCTTTTCAAGATGAATTGTTATGAGAATGATGCCTTGTCTGAGGAAATTGTCGGAAACGGCATTAAATCTGGCACGTCCTAGGTTCCGTGCATAGGATTTTAATCTCAACACTCGGTATTTAAACCTGATGTTACATTTGTAGGTTCCGTGTAATAGCTCATCAGCGTATGCGACTCTAACTGTATCAAATGGTGCATAACACTTTCTTGTATTTGCATGACGGGCGGAAGCTCATTCAAGCGAAACTTTTCGTGTTGTTTCCACTGTTTTGAAGAACAAGTTGGAAAGAATCAGTAGAGATTTGGAAGCAGTACACAAAGAGATTTCTGATTCGA